GTCGAATTTAGTTAAAAAATTTACTACTTGAAAAATGGAATAAATCGAAAAACTCTCTCTGTTACATTAAATTACACGAAATTCTTCATCTTTTAAAAGAAGCTAAATTAATAATTATTATACTAGTTCGAAAGAAAATTGTGCCGAAAGTTGTTATTAATCCGAAGTAATTTCGGATTTCCATAAAAATTCTTATCATATGCGACCCTATGTTTGATTTTATTAGTTTGAACACCCTGGCGGCACATGTCAGCCAATCATTTGCTCCAACAAAACAAATTTCATGATATTAATCGTTAACATGACTAATATCTTTATGTAACCCTACATGACAATAATTAATTACAGTTATTATTAGAGTTAATAAATCAATGATTAACTATATACAATAAAATTAGAAATGGTAAGTATTTAAAATTGTTATTTGAAGAAGTTAAATTATCGGACAGCGATAGTTGAAAAAAAAAACCATTGAAAGTGGACCCAAGCAAACATAGACTAATTAAGAAGTTTGTAAACCTTTTATGTAACTATAATCGGTTAGATCTATAACACAATTATGGTAAGAATATGTTTCATGCGGCTGTTCCTTTGACCCCCTTGAATGACTCAAAAATGTTGTTACTACGTAAAGTGTTGTAGTCAAAAAAAAACAAATGCATTAAATTTGCAAAGTATACATCGTTTATACTTGCGACGTAATTTATGATAAATATTTAACCACAAAATTTTTTAGTAATATATTTATTTATACCAATCTATTAATGCACAGCAATTTACAAAGATTTGTGTTTCGCTCATTGACACGTCTATATACATATGTATATATGTTGATGGTACGTACGTATGTACGTAGGTAATGTTCGAGCTAATAATGTACAGAAATACGAATAATAAAAGACGTACAATCACTTGAATCTACAAGAATTTAAAAAGAAAGAAAAAAAAAAAAATACAAAAAAAAAGAGCACTTTGTGCTACTAAAATTCGGGACGATTAATTACCGGTAAGTGAATGGAATAAACCAATTATCAATTGAAACAATCTTCTAAATTCCACCCAATGTAATTCTTCTTCTTGAGTCATTAATATATCATCAAGATATCTGTCAATACATTGACCAGTTTCTTTAATAAGAACCAGTAAAAACCAATCCACTGATGTGAAACCGTAAAATCCTTCAGTTTTTGCACATTCGTCTCGACTGATAATTCTGGTTTCCGTACACAATTGTGGTTGTAGTGATTGAAGAGCATCTATAAAAGTTTTATAACCATCTTCAACATCAGACCTTAAATCAGAGAGATCGTCAAAATCACCAGAATGATTAGAGTCCATCAACTGAAGTAAAGTCAGTTGGTCAATGAATAATTCATGATATTTTAAAGTGTAAAAGAATTCGAATTTCACTTCTTGTAAAGCATATTCGATATCGGTCATAAGTTCCGAAAAGATATCTTGAGTTGAACAAGGATGTTCCTCAAAAATTGTATCGTCCTCTTCAATAAAATGAATTTTTTCTTCAATATTATCATCATGTTTAGATTTAAAAATTGGTTTTGAAAACCAATCCCCAATTTTGAGAAACAGTATAGAGACCTTGGTAACGAACTTCCCAAGTACATAATCTTTAAGCCAGGTAAAAGTAGAGCGGCACAGATGTTGAGACCTTAAAAACAAGTCGGAAACCAAAATCATGAACTTTTCACCATTGCCAGCATGTTCCCATTGTTTTTGAAAATATTCCAAATGTTTCTTGTCAATTTGATCAAATGAAGCGTTAACCAATTGTAGCATGAGATGCTCGACCAAGGGACGAGAATCGAATCTTTCTTTACAAGAATGAATTTTTTTATAAGAGTTGTTCAATAGGGCAAGCTTTGGTTTAAACAAAGTGTAATCTACGTCAATCAAGTAAAGGGCGCTAAATTGATCAATGAGGATTTCATGATATTTGATTTTAGAAAAATTTATCATTTTTTGCTTTTTTGTCATGGAAGGCATCTTTGCGCGAATTATTCTCGGAGAAATATAATATGGTAAGATGGTTTGAAAAAAAAAAAAAAAAAAGAGAGAAAAAAAAAGAAAAAATTATTCGAGGAATAAAGATAATAATAATAATGGTCTAAATAGTCATTTAAAATGGTCGCCTAATTATAAAAGAAATAATCATTAAGAAAGGATGACAGAGAGAGAGCTTGAAAACATCCAAAAAACGGCTATAAAAAAAAAAAAAAAAAATCTGTTTATCAATTTATGTAGTAAAACAAAGTTTTAACTTAAAATGAATCCCTATTGATCTAATAAAATTTCTGTTTGTGCCCCTGTAACAATTATTTTTTTGTTATAATCGGGAAGATCTCATACGTACAAGACAGGCGATGATTCAAGGGATCATTTGATGGTGTTTGAATAGAGAAAGTAAAACCTTTCATCAATTCCTTTAATAGATGAATACGTTTAATATAATTATTTATATACAACTTCGGGATAATTTTTTCAAAAAGAATCGTGAAACCAAGAATCTAACAAATGAAAAAAAGGTCAGATTATATATTGAAAGTTTTCTAGTATAATATTATTAATGATGTACCCGAGCTATACCAAACAATATTTTACGAACGATAGACGATAGTTGATATGACACGATAGCATTACATTAAATGATTTCTTTGTTTTTTTTTTAATATGGATTGTCTAGAAGATCACAAGTCATAATCACATGACCAACGTTACCAATTTTGAAACAATGAGATTAAAACAATGGGTCACCAAATTAGTTGCGTCGTAAGACTAGTTTTTTCAAGTTTTCAGAAAAAATCGTCAAGACTGGCATGCAAATATTGTAAATAAACATTCAGAAATAGGTAATATTATTATCACAATACATTGCGTGTGAAATTTGATATGGTACGGTTAGTCATAATCGATAAAAATCGATAAATGATATCTATTGACATCTGACCTGCAAATGAATCCAATAAGTTCATTTCTTCTCTCACCTAAACTTTAAGTCTTCAACATGTTAACATCAATTTCAGGACATTGGTAGAAAAGAAAAGTGCACAGACCATGGAATTTTCCGCATCACTCACGTACGTACGTATTTAAGTCAATATTTAATCTGAATTTCATGTAATTTGCCAAAAAATTTTTTCTAATCAAAGGGTGACAATAAACACAATTCATAGAGCATAATGCATGAATCAAAAGGGAACCATCTTTTTTTTTTTTTTATGCATAGATCTGCCAATAAAAAAAGTAGAGTTTTGTGAACCAGTGATTTTATAGACACAAAATACAATCGAATGCATACAACGTAATCAAATGAAAGTAAAATATAATGAATGTGCGACAGTTCTATCGATTTACAAAAGTCATGCATGACTCTTATTTTAAATAAATATTATATTGTTATATATTGTTAATCATGTGAAGCTGCTGTAATTTTCTTTTTTTTTTTTTTTGGCGTTCTTCGAACTTCGAGCTAAAAACATCGATTTTTTTGCAATATTCTGAAGGATCAAAGTAATAATGCTGTAATGCAAGGCAACCTATCCTATCCTTATTCATCACCAAGGCCATATTAAAAGCGATTAAAATATTACACCACTTTATACTATTTAAAAACTGATGCTTACTTTCATGAAAAGCCAGCCTTTGTCCTGTACCTACTACATGCATGCGGCTACCGGGATGATCATGGATTTCGTCGAATTGTTGTTCCTATCCTCCATTTTGAGTGCTAACAAATCAGCCTAATTGATACATATTAAACCTAGTATCTTCTAAATATGCTTTTAATTCCGTATGTGTGTATGTGTGTACTAAAAATGTTAAATATTCGGTGTTGTATTTACATCCGTGTTTCACAGCGTGAGATGTCATCAGCTTTGACTTTTTCAAGCGTTATTTTTTTCGACCCTCCTTATAAATGAAGAATAAACAAAAAAATAAATAAATAATGATGTAAACAAATTCATTCATCAGTTTTATGGTATATTTTCAACTCACAGTAGGGCCGTTTACAAAATGAATAACTAGTATTGTAACCCTTTAGATTTGAACCAATTGTGTTAGGATTTGGCAACAGATTTTAAAAAAGATACGATAGAAATGACAGAAATAAATTTTCGTGCATATATATCTATATATATATAGATATATTTGAAAACTCGTCAATTATTCAAATATTCATCTTTATCAATCTATTAATCAGTTTTTTCTCCATCATATATCATTAGAGAATAGATCTTATTGTCTTCTTTCCGTGTTTTGCTCTTTTAATAATATATCAACACCTACCGATCTATTTCTATATAAATTCTTGCGAATCACATCATACAACGAGTTTTTAGATTCAGATATGACCTATATATTATTTAAAAGTATCAGAAAATATTTAAAATAATTGTTACCTAACTTGCTTGTCATTAATTCCTTTAGATTAATCAGGTCTATGAATTTTCAATACTTACTTTACTTTTTAACGGAAAACAGATTCTCGCTATTTACGTTAAATTCAACAAATTTTTTTTTTAAATTTAATCAGCTTACTACATCCTATTTAAAGATTTTGGTTATTATGATGACTCGGTTACGTGTATATATATGAGTTGTGTAGTGATAGTACTGAAGAAGCTATTAGGCCATAGGAGGAAGCAGTTGTAGTTGATCAATGTGCGATCAACTTCTTGCATTATAAGATTCTAATTATAGAAGGTTTTGTTATAGTGGTTCTGTAAAGTGAATATTCTTTATTTGAAATTTGGACATCTACCTTTATAAAAGGCATACTTACGTTCCTGCAACAAAGAATACCGCCTTCCCTTACATTCTTTCGTTTACTTTATTAATTGCTGTATCATTATGTAATTACATAAGAACCGGTCCTTGGTCTCTCTGATAGGATTCTATAGAATTACAACAATTTTAAATCACCGAAACAGAATATTTTTTTGTGCGGCTGCAGATTGTTGATAAATTTTGGTTCAACTATTTTATTTCCAAATAACATTAAATATATAAACGCGTAATTCTTTGCTATTGATTTACTTACTGTATATGAATCATCAAAATGTGTTTTTTTTTTTTTTAATAAATAAACATATAAATTATACTATATACCATGAATAAAGGATTCGTGCATAGATTCTGTGTATGTTCTTGGTCAACAGCAAACTTGATCTAAAGTTAACCCCAACTTATAACTTTCGCTAACTAGGAATGGCAAATGATCTGGAATTTAAATAACACAAATTATCAAATATATAATTACAAAATCAGTTGAAAGTCATTGGCCATTTCATTAATCGCGTAAAATTATTTTTGGTTAAAATCATCAATAAAAAAATTATTATTGCTACAATCGATAGTATAAAATCAAAGTGTGATTAAATAAATTAATATAGATAATTTATAATAAAACTTCTTCTATACTTATAATAAACTCTATATATATATATTGTAAAGTCTAGAAAACTAGTAACTATTGCAAAAAAAGAATTAGATACTGTTATATAAATATATATAATTTTTTAACAACTACGATCACTTTATAGCTAAAAGTTTTTAATTTTTTTTTAAATAATTTTTTATTTTTTAAGCTTATATATTAAAAAATTATAAAACTCGAATACCAATCAATTAAAATTTAAAAATTTTTTAATCAAGTTAAATAGACAATATTTTTAAACAGATATATAGTCAACCCTTTATAAGTATATTTTTATAAATATATATTTTTTTTAAATATATAGTCAAACCTTTCTAGATATATTTTTATAAATATATTTTCTTTTTAAATATATACTCAAATTTTGTTTAAATATATACTTGATCTCTATAACTAATAATATAAGTACTATAGTATATGAACTAAAAACCTCACATTTTTGAATACTTTCTTATAAAATATCTGAATATATAATTTTGATAAAATTCAAAAATTTTAATCTAATAATAGTTAAAATGTTTTTAGTTATTTTATAAATTTTTTCAAATATATTAAATCCCAAATCTTTAGTTAATATACTTTAGTAAATAAAAAGAAAAAAAATTATAAAAAATAATATATTAAAGCTAAAAATTAGTTTTATTAACTAAACCAAAACTATTAACAATCTGGTATATTATAATTATATTATTAAATAAAAAATTAAAATTTATACAAATAGCATAATAGTAATTACAAGTATAAAAAAACTTAATTTGATAAATAAATAATAATTAAAATAAAAACTATAATCAAATAAAAGTATTGTAAAATAGTAAAAATGAAAATATAATTAGAATTAGTTAAAATTAAAAATATAATAATAATAAATAAAATAAAAACAGATAAATTAACAATTAAGATATTAGTTTAGATAGTTTGAATATTAAATCTTTTACTTAAATCTAATATTTATTTTGTTAAAATAAAATAATTATAGTAATATCTAAAGCTAAAACTAACATTAAAAGTTTCTATTTAAATTTATAATATTTACTAAAATTTATTTATATTTTTTATTAATAAAATTATTTCTAAATTTTAATTTTATTTTAAAAAACAGCTAATAAAAAAGATTTTAAAAATTTTATTAGCAAATCATTAACTCTTTCTAATAATTACTTGTACTAAATTTTCTTTAAAAAAATTACTTTATTTTTCAAATTTTATTAATAAACCTACTTTAAATAAAACTATTTTACAGTAAATTTTATATATAGATAATTTAGCTCTAAACTCTCTAAACTTCTAAAACTTTTTTTACCAAAATATATTTGATTTCTTAAATTTTATTTCTATTGATCAAAACTCAAAATTCTATTAAGTAAACTTTCAATATTCTCTAATACAAATATAATATATAAAAAATAGACTAAAATTTATAAAACTATAATCAAAATACTTCTAAACTTTGTTATAAAAAACTATATCTAGTTTTACAAAAATTTTTTCTATTTTTTAGGAAATTCTGTCTTTTTAGAATGCTTAAAATTTGTAAACTTATATTACT